TATACCAGCGTATGATAAGGAGCAGGGTAAAAAAAACAACAGAAGAAAATGGGAAAGAAGGTTAAGATTTCAAAATCGGTGTAAAGGTACTACAAAAGCTTGTGCGAAATCAATGCGAGGAAAAGTGGTGCAACTTGGAAGTAGTACGTTAGAATGAGATAAAACAAAGGAAGTTTCTACCCTGTGAGAACTTATAAAATTACAGAGAAGTTAGTACATAACCAATAGCTATGAGTAGTTATCATTACCAAAATTACTTTGTTCATGTTGCTAAGTGCATAACTAAGATGATGCATAATGTTTATAAGTACGGTTCACAAAATAAATGAATTGCAGGAGGGCATAAACCCGAAGGAATATAGTACAGGCTGTGAAAATAAATTGAGCGGATTACTATGTACAGCATAGAAGTGAAGCATTTATGCGCAAAAAAATATGTATATCTGTCCATTTAACTATACAGTGGAAGTTTTTTTTGTTTTTTTTATAATCTTTTTTTTATTTAAAAAATTTTTTTGTTTATTTATTATTATTTTACATTTTTTTACTTTTTTGTATTTTCTTTTTTTTATATTTTCTTTTTTTTTATAAAAATTTTTTTAATAATAATTAATTTTTTTTTTTTGGAAGAAAATGGGCAGTGAAAGGTAATATACTGTTCATAATTCCTCTTTTGGTGTGGGTTACAAGATGACATGAGAAGCCAACTGATCTAGCGAGTAGATTGAGATGAAATAGATGAAAAATTAGGGGTAAAAACAAACTGCTGCTGGTCCTCTGTAACGAGAGATAAAGATTAAAAGGATTAGTGAGGGTTAAAACGACTACTCCCAGAAGCGGGACCAAATAGATTAAATATAGCAGAATTGAATAAGAAATTTTGACAAGGAATAAAAAATCACTAGTAGCATTACCTATGGATTAGTTCAGTGAAAGAATTCTACGAACCTCTTGGGCCAGTGAACACGTCGACCAGCACGTGTGACAGGGGTCTTACTGGTGACGGTAGGAGAATCATCATTCACCACTGGAGGTGAGGTAGTTGAGTCTGGACAAGGACTAGGTTCAGTGGGGCTATTTGATTGAGCCGATGGGGAGGGTGAAGGTTCTTCAGTGTATGCCGCTTTAAGTCTGTCTATGCTGACAGTGTCTGGGCGGCCGCATCGGTCAATAACGAAAAATTTATCTTTACGACTAAGGACCTTAAAAGGCCCGTCATACGGTGGTTGTAATGGCTTTCGTATGGCGTCGTGACGCACGAAAACGTGTGTACAGTCATCAAGTCGCCGATCAACCTGAACCTTTCGGTTCTGAGTGCGTGTGGAAACTGGTCGGAGTCGCTGCATAAAACTTTTAAGTTGCTGAGCGTAACGGGTGGTATCGGGAAATTTGGCTCGAAAGTTTCGGGAGCGATTAGCTCGCCTGGTAAACGCATGGTGGTACCGTACACCAATTCAGCTGGCGAGCACTGCAGATCCCCCTTAAGCGTAGCCCGGATGCTAAGCAGGACCAGTGGTAGCGAATCTGTCCACTTACTGTTGTCCACTGCCATCAACGCAGCTTTGAGTTGACGGTGGAAACGTTCTACTAGGCCATTTGCCGCGGGATGATACGCGGTTGTGCGAATGCGTTTGCATCCCAGCATCTCTAACAATTCTTTGAAGCTTGTGGATTCAAATTGTTGTCCGCGGTCGGTAGTGACAGTTGCGGGACATCCAAAATGGGCAACCCAGCCTTCCATGAAGGCACGACAGACGGTTTGAGCCGTTACATCTGGTATCGGAATGGCTTCCGGCCAACGTGTGAAACGATCCACACATGTGAGTAAATACGAGCAGCCGTTAGACGGGGGCAGAGGCCCTACTATATCCAGGTGGATATGATGGAACCGAGCGTCTGGGGTCGCAAACGTCCCCAACGGCGTGATGTTATGCTTGGTGACTTTAGCACGTTGGCATTGCACACAAGCACGTGTCCATTGACGCACATCACGGTTCATACCGGGCCACGCAAATCTCGCAGAAATCAACTTGTCCGTTGCTCGTATGCCAGGATGGGAGAGGTTGTGGAGTGACTCAAACACAGTTCGGCGTAAAGACGTGGGAACAATCGGTCGAGGAGTACCAGTTGACATATCGCAAAGTATAGTTGCCTCACTGTTTAGCAAGGGGACGCGTTCTATCTTCAGTGAGGTTTTATTTGACAGGTGTTCTAAGTTCAAATCGTTCAGTTGGAGTTCGGCCATTTTATGAAGATCGATGGTTGGTGGTACGGACGTAGCACATACGCGAGACAAAGCGTCTGCTACCGCGTTATCCGATCCAGAAACGTGCTGGATATCAGAAGTGAACTGGGAAATATAGTCTAAATGGCGTGATTCTCGCGGTGAATACCGGTCTGAAGTAGTGTGGAGGGCGTACGTCAATGGCTTATGGTCGGTAAATACCGTAAATTGCCGGCCTTCCACGAAGTGACGAAAATGCTTGACAGCAGCGTAGACAGCGAGAAGTTCCCTACCGAATGTGCTGTATCGAGATTCGCATGCGGTAAGTTTACGTGAAAAGAAAGCAATCGGTAGCCATACATTAGCCATACGCTGTTGTAGGACGGCTCCGATCGCAGTATTAGAGGCATCTACGGAGATGCTGATTGGAAGTTGAACATCTAGATGGACCAACATTGTGGCGTCAGCAATAGCTTTCTTGATAGCTGCAAAAGCTGTCGAGGCTTCCTTAGTGAACACCAAAGACTTGCATTTCCCTTTAAGCATATCAGTCAAGGGGGTCACGATATGAGCACACTGTGGGATAAAGCGACGGTAGTAACTAACCATCCCGAGAAAAGTGCGTAGTGCCTTGGGAGAAGTGGGTAGAGGGAAGTTTTGAATAGCTTCTACCCGGTCAGGTAACGGATAAATTCCATCTTTGTCTATCCTATGTCCCAAAAAATTCAGGGAAGTGACTCCAATCTGACACTTCGGCAAGTTGAGTGTGAGGGAGTGTGTCACAAGTCTTCGGAAAACTGTCTGCAAATGAAGTTGATGAGTGGCTTCATCTGGACTAGCTACCAAGATATCGTCCAGATAGGCAAAGGCGAAATCAAGCCCGCGCAAAACGTCATGTATAAAACGCTGGAAGGTTTGGGCAGCGTTCCGTAAGCCAAAAGGCATTCGAAGAAACTCGAACAGGCCAAACGGTGTAATCACAGCAGTCTTAGGTATATCCTCGGGGTCGACGGGAATCTGGTAGTAAGCCCGTGTAAGGTCCAGTTTGCTGAATACTCGAGCTCCCTTGAGTGAGGCGGTTAAATCGTGTATGTGAGGGACAGGGTAGCGATCGGGAACAGTTTGTGCGTTTAGTCTGCGGTAGTCGCCACAAGGACGCCAATCTAAACCGTTATTCTTAGGTACCAGGTGCAACGGTGAGGACCACGGGCTGCTGGATGGCCTAATAATCCCCATTTCTAGCATATGCTCAAACTCCGCTTTGACAACCTTTAGTTTTTCTGGGGATAGTCGCCTCGGCTTTGCGAAAACTGGCGGACCAGTAGTGACAATATGGTGTGTGACGTTGGAAGTCGCACATGGCAGGCCGCTGCTAGGTTTGAACAAATCCGAAAAAGATTGCAGTGTATGCGAATAAGGACCAGTACTAATGGGTGTGGCATATACAGGGCTGAGGGCTGGGCACTTGGTGGCGATACCGTTAATCGAGAGGTTGGTGGCTGAATCTATCAACCTGTGCTTACCTGTATCTACGAGTAGTTGGTAATGCTGTAGCAGATCCATACCGATGATACCTGTGGTCACGTCCGCTACCAGAAAGATCCAGCGGAATGCTCGGCGCAAGCCAATATTCAGGTCAAGAAAGCGCCTGCCGAACGTAGCAATTGGCGAACCATTTGCGGCTCGTAGTTGAAGAGATATTGGCCGCCTGCGCTCCTCTACTATGGGTGGGATTACACTGACCTCTGCTCCGGTATCAATTAGGAAGCGTATCCCAGTGTTACGGTCAGTAACATAGAAGAGGCGACATGAGAGCGGTTCGCCAGCGACGTTAGTCGCCAGTACGTGCTGGCTTGCTAGTTATTCGATTGTTGAACATCGAAGGTGCACGGGCGAGTGCACTTTTGGGCTTTTGCTCCGTAACGTCGATGATACCAGCACACTCCAGGCTGGTTACTTCGGGACTGTCGGCGCTTGCTGCTAGCACGTGGCAAGGGTCTACTACTGCGCGAACTTTAGGGGCTGCGTGCACGACTCCTGGAGTTCATCTCCTGTCGTATACTACAGATCTCCTCGTATAGCTTGGCAATATGGGCCACCGCGTCAAAGCTTGATGACCCCCCATCAGCCATCTTGCACACAAGACAAAATATTAACAAGGTGATAAAAAAACAAATGTAAGCACAAACAAAACAAATCTTTATAACCGTGCGTGAAAGAAAAAAAATAACAAAATAGACGGTACGTAAAAAGAATTGCTAACACGTTAAGCTACTATAGCGGAAAACGGTGAAAACGGGCTCACCACTTGTAAGTGTTGAAGCTAGACTTAAGATAGTCTTCGATATCACCACACTTACTAAAAACTTCACCGTCTTATGACTTTACGAGTACTCTACCTAACGTGTAAGTACTGATTAACTCAATCAAAGTTTAAAAGCTAACAATGGAAAGAATTCTTAGTATGAGTTGTATTTAACGTAACTAAATAACAGATTTAATAAATAAAGTGACTGTACAACTTAGCTGCAGACGTTACTGGAGGTAGGCTCGGAGAGTGTGCAGAAAGAGAGCACAACAAGAGAGCGAACCAATGAACGTACGGAAGACTCACAACTCAAAAGAGTAAAACGTGGATCACCGTGGGTGAGTCAGTTTAAACAAAAGTTCAAAGGTACAATGTGCACTACAGTCTTAACATATCTCATACTACAAACCACAACTCCTTTTTGAGCCAACCAAAGCTACGACAGTCGAGTGGCGGGACGAGCTACGCAGAAGTTTACCGAAGATCAGGAACGTATACCTCACAATCAAGGGGCGAGGACAAAGAGAAACGATATTGGATATATTGGATCGTGGGAAATTCGTTTTCAAGGCCACATTGCATATGCACATCACATAGTTGCCAGATCATGATGATTAATCGTCACTACTAGCGTTTATCAATTTTTACATAAAGTCTTCCGAAAGCCAAATACCAAACAGATTTGAAGTGATTTTGTTGCACCGGTGAATGTCCGCACAAGTATTTTTTAGTTTTATGTTCTCATTCCTCTTTGGCTATGTTATTGTGCCATTTAAATAATAAAAAAGCTAAACGACAGAAGCAATCCGGTATATGACCTTGGACAACGAGTCGTAGCCACGTGTATATAGGGAAGCTTGACAGGATAACTAGTCTTCTAGAAGGACCGGGATTTCTCTGTCGATTGAAGGACAGAATTAGAAGTATAGAGGAAAACTGTAACACCAATACGTATGGTGGTCTCCTCAATGATTTCGCAACTTGTAGTGCCCAGCTATGACCACTTGCATGCTCAAGATCAGCAGTAAATTCTATCGAGGTGACTGCTCTAGTTTAATTTCGCCTCAATGGGTTGGGTCCTTTTCTATATCTTCTTTTGGTGACAGATAGGCAGAACGATAATTCACCTCCTATATGTGGTGAATGTATCGTCGAAACGAAACGTTATTTTTATCGAAATAAAATAAATCTAGTGTGGGTTATAATCTTCACTGTCTTGGGTATATATCATCAGCTTTTTTGCTTCTGCGTATCTGTTAATTAGTAAGAACCCCTTTCTTCGAATTTTCCACCTTTTAGACAACCTTTTTTCTTCTAGCTGCTTGAATTGTGTTTTCTGTGGTGACATGAGTTGCTTATTCTTCGTTGGTTGATTGGTTGCTATTCTCAGTGTACAGCAGTCCTAAAAGTGTCTTATTAATTTGAATTGAGTAACTAATTCTACTGGCAACATATGGTTAGTCAATAAGCAGTTTAAGTACGCTCAAACATGTCCATATTCTAGTTTAATCGTAATAACATGTTCGAAGAGACAACTGATATTTTCAGCCATCCTGTGGGTTAGTTGCTTGTTGAAATCTTCATACTTGGTTAGGAAAGCCTATTTATTGGAAGTGGAAAATAAAATGAAAAACACTTAATGGGGTCTTACATTGAAGAACTTGTTTCAGTGGTCATGCAGGATTTCGTGTTGTGGAACCTTTGTCGCCCATATTCGATTGTGTAACCCTTTGGTGAGATTAATGTCCCATAAAATAGGACTGTGGGTTCCAACGAGTGATTCGCATTTGTTCTACGTTACTCATTATATGAATACTTACCATTCATCTGTGTGAATGCTTTTTTATCGTCTCATTATATTTTGTATTATTGACAGTAGCACTGGATCATCCCGGTACATGGTCAATGATAACTAGGATGAAATTACAGAGAATACACACAAAAGTTTGCAAGTGTGATGCAAGATAAATACTAATCACAAAGAGTGTGGAAACGAAATTCACAGAAACTTGAAAATCTGGTTGTGTAGTGTATAAAATAATTTTACAAAAGATGTATGTTCAAGATATGTTTAGGAAAGTCAAAGAATTCGCTAAAATACCAGTTTTCTGTTGTTTTTGAAATCTAAAATAAAAGTAGATGCTTTAGAACGTTATTGTAAATTTTATAGAAGACAAAGTAAAATGATTAGAAATCGGTATGTTGAAAAGAGACTTTTATTTGTCTCTCATCAAAGTAGACTCAGTTCATCACCATATCTATGACATTTTGGGGTAGAATAATGTTTGTTTGCAGTTAAATTCTCATTCTATAGCAACGTCTACTCATTAAATGCGGAAATCTCTCTCCATACAAAATTTGAGACTAAAAGAAGGCACACTACCCGGATTTATGAGAACTTTTTGAAGTCTTTGCTTGAAAGGAAGCAGGCTTTTAAATAGTGTAAGTATTAAACACTAAGAGTGATACTTTTGAAGCGTTCAGTACATCAAAGATTCACTAAGTGCCAAAAATACTTCGTTTTGCCAAAGCATGTTATGCAAAACTCTTTCAAAAAGATAGACGGTTGGAAGATAATAGTAACTGCATTTGTGTGTTGTTCCACTTTTTTGCATTGAACTATGCTTCTTACTACTAATATCAAAGTATTCCATTGGCTACACCCGTAATTTATGTCATATTTTGCGTAGACTTCTATCTAAATTAATTAAGTTCGTCTTTACAATTTATCTAAGGTAAATTTATAAAACTCTACTTAGTGATGGTGTACTATTTGTATGAATTGTAAATAAGCAGCTCAAAGTAAGGTGTACACGAATCTTACGGTGTTCTGTATGAAATTCACCGCTGTCAAATACAGCATACCAGAAGTTTAATCTGCACAGACTTAACTTACTGATAGTGAGTGAAACCGTCAAATATGCAGTCAAATTCACTTATCTGGAATGTTGCATCAGCCCCAGTGAAGTGGTTGCTGGAAAAATTTCAACCCAATTATGGAACTCTTGCTTGGTATTACCTCACTTTTACCGTTTTTTGTGCTATCATGTATACTATACAGCAACACCCCCGTTTTATTGTACAGGTGAGACGACCACTGGAAACAGGAAAGATGAAAAGATCTTAAGTATTTAACGCTTTTTATTCACTAAGCTCCTCGTATAATGTGGGGCAGCATGGTGAGTGACAATAAAATTATAGGTACACTCGTAGGTACGGAAAATAAATGGTTAGGAATTTCTTTACACATTCCTAACCTCCGCCTTCTTTGTAGGGCAGTGGTAGCTGAAGTTGAATTAGTCGGGAAAAGTGTTAGGGATTTTCAGACCGAGTCGTGACATCAATCAAGATGGTTTTTAACTGTTGATCTAATCCGCATAGGTAGATGTAGTTTTTACGGTTAGTCCTATGGGAGTTTAGAATCAATGGTTAGAGACTGATGGTAGCATGACTCAAAACCTTTCAGTTAACTTCGAAATTCTGGACACTAAAACCCTCCATTAGTCTATTCCCTTTTCCATATGCTTCTGTTCTTTGTAGCGTCAATAAGTTCTTGTAATACCTCATTCATTGTCTTTTCGCTTTGCCACAGCTTTAACTAAACCGTATCTGTGCCAAGTTCTATGTTGATTCATCTATAAGAGTGCATGATTTCCCACAAAACCAAAAGCAAGGCTTGCTAAGCAAAATGCTTATCTGTCCCCTTGATACAAAAATCAAAAGCCTTCGTTTATTCTTTTGTCCACTTGCATCTATAATTATTTTCGTATTGCCAGACATTCGTAAACGTTCTGTTCTAATATATTGTATTCAATTTCTCTCCACTTTTATTTTACTTTTAGTCTCTGGAATGAATAAATCGAAGAGTAACAAAAACAAACCTAAGGGTGCCTCAGATGGTGCGTCCTCTGTTTACGGGCAGACGGATAAGGAACTATCTGCAGTATTAATTGCAGATCTTTTGTTTAACCGTTTTGATCCGTTGAGTGAATACATCCCTCCATGTTTACTTCCATTGGGTAATGTCCCTCTGCTGTACATTAATCTATCTACACTTGCTTCTGATGGGTTCAAAAATATCCTTATATATACCATTAAAAGTTATAAGAAAATCCAGACATTTATAAAGCAAGTTAAATTAAATAGTTATTTCCCTGGGTTGAAGATCCACGTACGAAATGTTGAGAAATGTCACAATTTAGGTGATATTATGCGGGATCTTGAGTCAAGTGAATTTCTTAATGGAGTATCAGACTTCTTACTGGCTCCTGCCGATCTGATATGTGGCGTTTCTCTGACAAAATATGTGCAGAAACATAAGGAGAGGCGTGAAAAAATACCAAATGCCATACTCACCCTTCTGTTACCCTCCCTCACTGAGGTGGTAAGCCCAGTGCAAGCTTCTGAGTTTAAAGTTAATGTTATATTTTCAAGAACTAATAATAATCGTCTAATAAACCTTTTCCACGAGTCTCAAGGTGAAGTCTCCCCAATTTTCGTAAGCGATGTCATGAAAAGTGGAGAGGTCATTGAGTCATCTCAGTTAATGGATATTCAGCTGGCTGTATGCAGCAACCACATACCACCGTTATTTCAAGTAAGTTAGTGTTATGATTTTTTGTATTTCCTAATGTTAAGTTTATAGGGTTCTGTTTATACTGAGTATTAATTTTACGAAACTCTTCGTAATGATGAATTCTTACGTAAATACTTTTTTCAATTTCTCCTAATACCTAGATTTCTTAGTGTGATTTTTCTAGTGTTAGAAAATGAAAATGCTATAAGAATAAGTAGATGGTTTTGTGTAGATTCGTCTTGTATTCTTCATGGAACTTGTCAGCCTACGTCTCTTCCCAGTATTAATGTTCTGTGAACTTTATTTGTGGTGGTGACTTTGGAATAAATGCAATATTATTAATGACAGGAATGTCCAGATAAACATTTACCAACAAACATGATGAGTAATTATAAGAAGCTGCAAGATTTTCTGTCAATATGTGCAATGTCACCTGGTAGTTAAGCGGCTTACGGTTTCATCTTTATACAAGGTGTTTTATGCCAAGATAGGATTTTTTCCCATGTTCTAAGTAAAAGAGAAACTCTTATCAAGTTCTATATTAGATGCAATTATGAATATACAATTAAAATCACAATGGTGTCCGAGAAGATACTATTATCTTAGTAAGTATGCACTCTAAGTCAGCAAGAGAATGACTAGAAGCATGACGAAAGTAACAGGCACGTAGAACTCAACTGAATTCCCAAACGTTCAGCAGTTCAAGTTGCCATACTTTATAAAGGACGCATAAAGGTAGGGGAAATAAGTAGTATAAAAAGCTATAACAAATGGAAATGTAAAGGAGAAAGAAGTTACTTGGGTAATAATGAGGATTTACTGCCTGACTGACTGGTTTCAACATAGAAATCAGTGGATCTAGGAAATCAGAAATAGTGAATGCATCTGCACTATTAAAACTATTTCGAGCTATATCACCAACAGCTCGTGGCCATTGGTTCTTAGCGTCTCGAAGACCCCAGCTAGGTATTAGAAAAAACAGTCAACTGAAATTCAAACAAGTAAATCAACAATCGGATACACAGCAGTAAGTGACAGCAGAGCTTTACGTCGCAACAAATAATTAGTTCTAAAAGCTCGAATAGTATTCAAGGTTGAAAGCAGACATCTCTATTCTCAATTTCACCTGGACGAAATTCACATGAAAAGAAAGCGCAAATATGTTCAAACTTTCAGTGAAATTAATGTTAATAATATCGTGTGTACCGGTGATAAAATATCCTTGATCGAATACCCAAACCTGGAGAACATCAAACATTACCTCCATATGTTACATATTTTGTAATAAAAAGCGATCCCGCTTGTGAGTTCTGTCGTAAACAAAAGCGAATTGGGATAGTATCCTAACAGATGCCGGTGAAATACGTTTGTGATTGAAGCTGTTCCTCGAAGATTTGGGAGATTATCTTAAATTTGTGGTAATCATCTCATGTCTACCTTCTTTCTGCTTGGATAAATGATTGATATCATTAGTTTTATGTGCAGCACATCCTAGTTTAACAAAATTTTTGTCTTAAGATAAGATCTGTTGTTTCTTAAAGACTGTTTATTGAGTATTATTATTTAGACAAAATCTAAGTACTATGTGGGTGCCAAAAGATGCACCACATAACACCAACAAAACAGTAGATGAATAGGAAATAAAATAATTAGAGAACCTTATGGTGAAAATAAGCAAGCTTACTTGTCAAAAGTATTTTAAAGAGCGTTCATTACTTCATTTTTTTTCCGAAAGGGAGGAGAGGAGAAAATCGCAGCGTGTTTGCCATTGATTCTGATTCTGATCTATATCTGATAACGTCCTGAGCCACTGGTTCTAATTACCTCATGGGTTCTATTAACTGAATCGTGGTGCACCAGCAGGCACTAATCCAACAACTTTTCTTCATTCCACGGCACCAATCCCCCTTTTTGCACTGTCCCAGAGCTAGCGAACAGCAATCTGTATGGAAGCCACTAGCATGAAATTCGTAGTTCACACAGCTACTTCAGTAAACAAACTTGTCCACTACTTTTAACGGTTCATCTTCGAGGTTGAGTGCAGTTCCAGTAAAGTACACATTGTACTTGCAAACACGCGTTGCCTACTGATTAAGTGCGATTAAGGCAGTTTGTATACTAACACACAGTAAGACGATATAATCTGCATACTCAAGGTTAAAAAATCTTTCTACAAGCAGTAGATCTATAGCACTACCACCAGGTACATTCCTCTAGGTTATCTCTAGAATGTCATTACTGGAAAGTTAAGGAGAAATTATGAGGTCTAACAACCCTACCTAATCTAATTGTTAGTTGAAAACAGTGTTGATAGTTGGTGGTCACCCTTACCGTACCTGAGGTGCTTTTATATAAGAATTTCAGGATGTTGACAAAGTTCTCAGGGACATCTTTCTCTAACAGACACTTCCATTGGGCAGCCCTGTCCAACAAGTCAGAAACAGCCATAATATCATCAAATACGGTTGTAGAAAATGACCAAGAGTGAAAACCTAGTCAGTGCACCCACGACCTGAATAAAAGGCGGTCTGTTCATCCAAAATCAGTTTCTTACGTGTTTCACAAAACACGCGAAGCAAGACAGCCTCCAATGTTTTAGGTGCAACTGGTTACAATAATAGCCTGATAAATATCATATGCATTCAGTAAATGTTTTGATGTAAGTACATTTATGATTTTCCTCAACAATCCAGTTGGTTCCTTGACTAGGAACGTTATGCAACCGCTGCTTTGTTGCTTTTCACTTGTGTTCACAATGCTAGTTTTTTTATTGTGCATGTCTGGTAAGCATGTTACTGTAGACTAAATGAAGTTCATTCATACTAGCATAACTTTTAATTAATATAAATTTGTGCCGATTTTGTATACCACACCTTGCTCAGTTATCTAAACACTACAACTTAGTCGCTTTTGTTTTCTGTTACTCAGGATAATTTTGATTATGAAACTATGGATGATCTTGTTAATGGAGTACTAACAAATGAAGAAATTATGGAGTATACTATTCATATTGAACCATTACCTAAAGGGCCAATAGTAGTTCAAGCTGCTCCCGATCTCAGTAGTTTGATAGACTTAAATTTCCGACTTCTGTCTCGACAAGGTGGATTTTGTTTCTCATTGCCACCGCTTTATGCTAACTCATCATCTTTGGATTCTGAAATTTTAGCAGTTGGTCCACAAGTTTTTGTCTCTGCATCGGCAAAAATCCATCACACAGCACGACTAATTGGGGCTTGTTTTATTGGACCCAAGTGTGAGGTTTCAGCTTATGCTTGCCTGATTGACTGCGTTTTGGGAGATAGTTGTTTTATAGGCGAAAATGCGTGTTTACGTCGTGTTATCGCTTTGGATAATGTTCGTATTTATGATCACGTGAAAGCAGATGTAGCTTGGTTGTGTTCCAATGTCCGCATATTATCTGGTTTCAAACTGTCCAGTAATTGTTTCATGGGACCATCACCAACAACACCTGTGACTTTAGGCCCAGGATCTGGAAATTTACCGAAAAATACCGTATTGGTGGCACCTCGTTCTGGTGACATAGTCTTGGATCCTTCAGTTGGTGGAAAACAGACATGGGCTACTTTTTATAGGAGAAGACTGCTATCAGGAACAGTAAGTTACAATTTCTCTAAATTTTTTGTTAAAAGTGTCATGCATCCGTAACTATAAACCGATGCTTGTACTTAATTTAAAGCTTTACTTATATGAGAATGCCCCATAGTTACGAAACTGTACGCAAAAAAAATCATACCGGTTCACTGATTTATAAAAAAAACTTATTAAGTGCATTAGCAAGTGTAGTTCTTTTTCTTATAGTTATGTTCAGTGATTGAAGATTGTGGTGATGAATGTTACTCATCGAATGTGTTTTTCTACACATATTTTATTTAGCCACATGCTCCTGACTTCTGAAAGATCACTCATCTAGTTAGCCAGCTAAATGCTGGAGCGAAACTTCAGCATACTTGACGCCGTTTCACACTTATCAAAAATAAAAAACGCTGCAGGATTAAAATGCATTGTACTCATAAAAGTGCTCATCTCACATTTAGCAAAGTGCAATTTTCTGTCACATTGCGTGGTTGCGAAACATGGTTATTGAATGTGGTGAACATTAGGAATACAGGTTCTCAAATACTTGTGTCTTCGTAGAGCATGCTACTGCAGAGTGAGTCCTTGAAAAACAACAAAACAATAAAGGAAATCGGTAAAATATATTGTAAATTTGTACAGATCGGAACTAGAATAAACCTCAAAAGTAGGCGTTTGAAACATTGTGGTCGATTTATGGAGTCTAAAAAGCTATATATGTGATTGAAATGATTTTCAGAGTGATTTAGTAGATAGACACGTGGTGACCACCGTATTAATTACAATTACTATGGATTGAATACAATAGATTTTAGAGCTAAAACGTTCTGATAACACGACATTTAGCAGATAAAAATAAATACAAACGATTTTGAAGTTTCAATTCCTGTCTAGCGAAACTGTCCCATTGATCTGTTGCGAGACAACAGATAAGAAGCCGCACGTAAAAGGTTGCTTTTATTAAATTATTGAAAACGCAAACTTGGTACATTATGGGCACCAACAGATGCTCCACACTGAGTTTGTGAGATGATTGGATTACTTCTCGGGCGCGTAGACCAAAGCAGATGATTGTCTTAAGGGACATAACCCGCCACCACTTGGAGTTTGATCCAAAAAACAGTAGAGCAGCGTTAGGAGCTACCTTCCCACGATTTTCGGTGACCGAGACAGGTCCACACGCCTTTAGATCCTTTTAGATTCTGGAACCCGCATACACCATAGGCTTGGAATCAGAGTTTTCCAGCACCGCACCATAGGCAGACCTGTGTGTCCACCATTCCAGTTGTACATACCAGACGTTCGCATACGCCCTATCACTTTTGTGAGGAACACTCCCGCTTCGTGAAGGTAGTCAACAGAACTTACCTGTAGTAAGTAGAAGGTCTCTAATCTGAAAACACTTAAGGGTGTTCTTAAATTATACCACATTTTTATAAGTGAAGTCTGTAACTCTTAATAAGCACTTACATGTTTGCAAATTTTTGCTTCTACGATCTTCAGCATTACGTAATAACTAGTGCTTTCAACAACTGACCTTCATACTACATTAGCGTTAGTTAAATGAATAGTAAATAAAATCTAATACCACCAAAGCCTTAGCCGTTAAATACATACATGATAACATACATGAAATATTAGCAATAGAGTTTTCGGAACATGGACTGATACTATTTAGTATGCGTTGTTGGTCTGTGAAATGCGAAATGTTGCATCTATGCTTCGTTTGGTAATATGAGACACGAAGTGGTCAGATCTATCAGCCACCTCAGTTTCCTGGGAAATAACACCACGGCTAATATGATTATTATTATTATTGTTCCCTTGGGTTCCTAGTGGAACACAGAGCTTCAACTGCACGTCTTCACTTGCTTCTGTCTTTTGCTGTACTTTTCACTTTCATCCATGTTAGTCCATACTGTTTCAACTCCTCTTCACACGATCTCCTCCATGTCACCCTTGCACTGACGTCCCACTCGCCGCTTCCCTTTCGGCCTGGTTCCACTCGAGCAATGGCCTGACGCGGGCGCGATGTCACCCAGCGGCCTCCTCAGCGAGTGTCCATCAATCCATCTCCACTTTCTCCTGCATATTTGTTGGCTGGCAATTGGTTCTTGTTTTGTTTGTTCCCAGCCATAGTTTCGTGTTGGTGATTCTTTCCGGCCTGGCCATCTGATCTTCAGTATAGATCCAGCGAAGACAGTTGTTGATAAATGTCTGCAACAGGCTGTTGGAAATATTCTTTGTGACCCTCCCGCCAAGTTTCTGATCTGTATAGAAACACTGACTGACTTGACGTTTGTATTGAAAATCCTACCGAATTTTGTTGTTGATGCTGAGTGACGAAGATTTCCAGATTGGTTTCAGGTTGATGAATGTGTTTCTCGCCTTCCCGATTCTCAACTTGACATACTCGTCCGTTCCTCCTGTAGTTGAGACAAACGGCTAATATGATGGTATCCGGAAAAACCTAATCATGATCACAAACTTGTTGATTATTCTTTGCCATTACACGTCAACTTGGTTACCGATGATTTCTATTATTAGTTGGGCTTGCTGAGAGGTAGTATTCGACTGTCCTACTAAACGAATATGAAAATAGATCCATCATGGCATTGATCGACCGGCAGACTGAAAGATTAGTATCGAAATTCACGTAGATGTAAATGATTTCAAATTTGCAAAGGCAGAAGTATGACACAAATCGAATGAAATGAAGTAAAGTGAGAGTGCAGTGATTAAATATGAGTATTAAAGAACCATCAGATAAAAAATAATAAAATATTAATAACTTTACAGTTTATAAAGAGTAAATATATTCGCATCATTGTGAAATATTTTAAAGGTTTTAAACAACAGTCTCTAACTTCTGACTCGTAGTATCCTGAAAACTGCAGTCATAAACATACACCTTTCTCTATATGACTCATACTCCTAAATCCTACTTCAGCTTACATTATTTATCGAGAAAGTGGATTACCCTCCATAAGCCGTACATGTCTCCCCCACTTTGTGACATTAATCACTATTTTTGTCTATTGTGAAAGCAACTGAGTATAAGCTATTACATTATCATGTGATTTCGTGTGATGTCTTGGTTTCCTTTACATTCGGAAGTTGTCTGAAAATTATAGTGATGTAGTCACTCATGTCACTATATGCGGCGTATTGCATGTTAATTAAAAAACTAAGCATAACAATTTAATTAGCGCATCCTGTTATAAACATTTGATCAAAAAATGGAGGACTTTATACGAACTTATTTCTTTTTAATATATTTCGAATGTGTTGCAGTTTGCCAAAGTTAAGTCTTTTCGATGTGGTTGTGTTCTCTGAGCTGGATAGTTAATTTGCAAAGCTTTCATCGCCCTACTAGGCGACATCTTCAGCGCATACTTCAATCCACGGAATTCCGTCAAAAGACATATACCTCCAAGGCAACCTATCACACCAAAAGCACCCAAGGAAAGCACAAAGAAAATCACCCTTCCATATATAAAGGATATCTCAGAAATTACTGCAAGACTCGTCAAACCGTTAGGAATTGACGTCGCACACAAACCGACAAAATCACTTCACTCAGTTCTATGTCAACCAAAAGACACAACAACGAAAGAAGATAAAAAACCGACATCATCTACAAAATAAATTGTAACAAGTGCGAAAAACACTACATTGGTCAAAGTGGACGTTCCCTTCGTCTTCGTATCCACGAACATCAGCTAGCCGTTAAAAGACAAGACATCCATTTCCTCATGTCACTACATACAGATAACCACGGACATCAATTCGGCTGGGACAGTGTTCAAATATTAGACAGGAAACAAAAAGAATGCTAGAGAATTTTTAGAAGCCTGGTATTCCAGCTAATCATCAATCAATAGACACATCGAGATAGACAAAATTTATCAACCGATAAGAAAGAAACCTTACACATAAAGGGTCAAAGTTCAAGTCAAAGAAACAATCAGCTCCAACACAAGTAGCCTAGGTGTGAAAACACACAAAAAACAACCAATCCTATCCAAGGTTACCAGGAGAGATGATTAATAAACTCGTGAAGAAATCTAAAAGCTAACTTCAAATTGAAGTATGCGCTGAAGATGTCGCCTAGTAGGGCGATGACAGCTTCGCGAATTAACTATCCAGCTCAGTGAACACAACCACCCCAAAATCATCCACCCAAGCTACAAATCTCCATCATATCTAAGTTAAGTCTTTATTGATAGTTAGTGGAAATTAGTAAGTCAATCGTTGATTTAGTGAATCTTTATTGTTTGATGTAATTGAGAAGTGTATCATTTTGGTCGAATTATATGTACAATACTGGTTGCACAAGAGTGGATTAAAAGAGGGTTAAGAATGGCAAACGGAAGATTCTATACCAACACATGAGGTCACACGAGTTGTTGGTTAATACGAATAAGTTAAGAATTTTGTGGCAAAGATACTTTTGATGCTTTATTTTCTTTTAAACTTTAATATCATATAACAATATTTTCTCGTCTTTTAATGTTCATACAGTTCTTAGTTTTTTTTTTTAATTCGTGATTTTTACCATTGTTAACCTCTACCTTGAATCATTGATGTAAAGTGTGAATAGTTTTAAACAATTGTAGGTTATTTCCGATTGTTATGTGCTTTAGCTGTAAGCAACTTCCATATGGATTTGTAGATATCAATCATTGTTATTAACTGATAATCTCGGAGACGATATGCAGACGTAGTTTATTATAAAGAAAAATCTCCACAAAGTTCATCTGACTGCGACCTAGTAGATTACGGAGAAAGAAACTGAACTGACATAGAAGAGCATTTATATTGTCGAAGGGGATTTAGATTAGATCTAAGTTTTACACTCGGCTTCATAGGTAGGAAAGATTTATTCCTTAAAACGAACTGTACTAATATGTGAACTTATGTTTCATGTACTTTTTACTCCAATTGGTATCTTGTAACTGTGGAGCTGTTACGCATTAGTTTAGGCACTCAACTTTCAACCAGTAGGTCATGGGCTTAAATCCCGCTCCATCTACTGAGGTTCAAACAACCAGGTAGTATGACTAGCCTTCACACAATAGGCAGTGTGGTTCACTGCCAACTGTTTGGAATCGCTAGTGGTTGTTGAGCAACATTCACATATTGTAAAAAACTCACTTCATGATAATCAGCTGTGGTCCATCGACTATGTGTATGTCACATTTTCTGTTTCTACTAGACTGGATGATACAATATCTTTCGGTTGGTAATTGTATTCAACTTAAATAAGCAAGATAGCAATACTCACGAATTCAACTAAAGCATCAGCTGAAGAGAAGTCAAGAATTCATGGTTAGAAGAATCATTCGTGTTGTGTTATTGCAGTCGATTTAAAAACAATGAATATTTAGTTGTAAGGTGATTGAAACAGTCATTCAACACATTGTCACAGTCAAAAGAATATTACTTAACTGGTCAAACTAGTGTTTAGCTGATTCGTCTGCTTACTGACCTTAGTCTTATATGTGAGCAATTGGAAAGGAATATAACCATCAAAGTTGTTATGCTTAAAGGAGGAAAATACAGGTTAAGCCTTCGCACTGTAGTCGCTCTATGTGAATATGATGTCTTCTTAAATATTTCACTCATAGCTTGTTTTGATTGTTTACTGGTTGCTTTTGATAGCAATTTTTTATGAGTTTTTAAACATATTTTGCTAATTTTTTTTTGTTGTTGTACCAGAGTGGTTCCATGGAAAATCTTTCTGGAGAGGATACAAAATCTAGTCCATTACATTTATCGTCAAATAGTGCACTGGTAAACTCTTGCTTATGGGAGACAGCTTGGGATCGAATTAAGCATGCAGCTAAAACACGTCGACAAAAAATGAATCAAAGGCGTAGTTACAGTCGAACCAGTGAAATGCATTCCGGCAGGTCTAGCAAACCACGTCGTTTAACTAGCGATATAATAGACAGTGATGGAGATGTAGACTGTCAGTCGAAAGAGACATCAAAAATCGATAGTGATGTTGACGATGAACAATCAGAAAAATTCATAATTACTGAATTCAAACGAACTTTAGAACGTGGTGAACGACATTCATATCCTGCTGAAACTATGATACTTGAAGTGAATTCATTGAAACATGCTTATAATGTGCCCATTGAGGATTTTGGCTTTTTACTATCAAAGGCCTTATTGGATTTAACTCGGGATCATCTTTCTTCAGAAGCACAAAATGATTGCAGTAAAAGTAGTGTTGTAGAATTCATTACAAGCTTGCGTAAATTTCTGTCCAAGTTCAAGAGTGTCTTATCGTCGTGTATGTCAGGTTTTCAGCATACTGGTCGAATTTATCTTCAAGCTGTTGAAGACGCAGCATGCTATGATCCGTTAATATTTGCCTCTTCTATGTCTATTATTCATACACTCTATGATTGTGATTTAGTTTTAGAAGATGATATCTGGTGGTGGAAAGACAATTCACCACTTTTACTTGACGAGGATATTGCCGACAAGACTAAGTCATTAAGGGAAAAGATTAAACCCTTTCTTGACTGGCTTGAACAAGCTGAAGAAGAGGAAGATGATGATGACTGACAGTGATGATAAGCATTCTAGTGGCTTGAACATTGTAAAGTATCTTTATTTTCTTTGTATGTTAATCGAATTATATTTTTACTATGCGTAGTATTAATGTAAAATAAAGGAAAGACGGAGAGGAGTGAACTTCTTTTAGACCCTATTACTTTGAAATTATTCAGTTGTATTTTGTTCTACCGATTTGAAGTAGCATTAATAGTGACATCTCGCCTTTCAGATGTTTGCGCCACAAGAAATACATCAACCAGCATATTTATAGGGATAGATTACCGTTTAGATTGCCGAAATCAGTCACATTTAGATGTTTTCAGTTTAAGCTTATTTATTTATTTAAACGCATAAAAACTTGGTACAATATGGCACCAAGAAGGATGCGCCACACAATAATAATAAAACAACATAGATCAAAAGAAAAAAATATAAGCAGAGAACGGATAAAGAACTTCATCTGGAAGGAAAACAGTCATGCTTAACAAGTTCAAACAGTATTCGTTAACTATCATCGGGAGGGGAAGAAAGAAGGAAATTGCAACACGTTCACCATTAATTACGATTCTTGGCCATATCTGATAACGTTTCGAGCCGTCGATTCGAGCTATCTCGCGGACCCCGACCAGGGAGTCGTGACACACCTACCGATGCTAATCTAGCACGAAAATCCTTCATCCCACGACGCCACGTCATGGATTGACCACCTCTCCGCCTTTTCCATCCCATCCCAGGGCTGGCTAGCGAACAGAGAACTGTACGGAAGCCTCTGGGATGACATTCGCAGCGCATGTTCAAGCCACCGGAGCCGGTGCTTCCAGATGACGACACTCAATGAATGGTGATCTCCACTGTGTTCAAACACATGCCGCCGAACCTTAGATCTACTCACGCGATGATGCCATTGAACGCAAGCAATCCTGCGGAGACAGCGGTGATCGAGCACGCAGAGTCGCCACTCATCCTCAGCTCGGAGAGGCCAGGTTTCACAGGCGTAGAGCAAGACAACCCGCACCGAAGCATTGTATACCCGACTTTTGACAGCCAGGCTAACGTCGCGACGGCGCCAGAGGTGGCTCAAGTTGATGTATGCCACCCTAGCCTTCATTATACGGTTGGAGATCTCATCCGTCACCCCTCCGCCAGTATTCACACAACTACCCAGGTACACAAACTTAAGTTGAATTACTTCAGTGTCACTGTTTGGAATTACAACCTGATTTTTACTTGTTGGGTGGTACGTTTCATCTGTAATAAAATATCGAATCAACAAACTGTGTGATCTGTGGGATAAAATGAAGGAGTGATGACAATCAACAAATGTTTATCCCATAGAACTAATGATACTGCCGCCTCATGTAATAACCACCATTCTACTTCTCTCAGGTGGCAGCATCATCGACGAAAAGTTTTCCTCATGAAGAATATTTAGATACGATGTATGAAGTGTTGTGAAGCTAGTGAACCTTGCGTTTTACAATGATTGCTGGGCTTTAAAGAAAGCTATTTGGAATTAAGCATGCGTGTTATACATAGCTTATCATAGTCTAACAATCAATGTAGTGCTATCAGAGAATACATATAGAAAATCTACATCAAGTTTCTTCCATTTGTAAGATGTTTTTTTCTTTAGTTGAATAGATTTGTCGATGGGCTTTCGATTTGATCGCTCCATAAGGACTTTGTATTCTTGGATATGAAAACAGCTCTTGTTATTTCACGATGCCAGTGTAACAACAGAAGACAAAGGCCAGGCAACAGATCGTTTTATTATGAAAATCAACACGTATTTATACATATTTCAGACAACATTATTATAGACAAGCGCAGTCATCTGATTGGTTGTTTAGGTAGACAAACGCAGGCTTCTGATTGGTTGTTTCGGGATTCCTTGACAAATAGAGTTCTCTCTGCGAATCATATTTTGCCACGTTAACTTTGCTGTGATTGGTTGTTGACTCAGGCTTGTTCACGGCCCATATTAGTGACCTAGACCTTAACGTAGATTAGTGCCAACCAATCGGCTAGCAGCCTGCTCTCACCACACTCGTCCCCCCGTCAAATACGTGCGACTGAAGTCGGCTTGATCTACTTGGTGCAGGCGTCATCGTTGGCTTGTCTCGCTGTATCCATTTCTGGAGCTCGCTGACGTTCACGCGCCTCTCATTGTTCGCCATTGCGACTGTGTCTGCGTAACCCCATCTCGAAGTGACCATATATGGTCCTTCCCACTTTGGAAACTGTTTGCCTGACCCTGTCGAACATTCGTCCATACTTCGGCCCACACCTTCATATGCTGCTTTCGCCCGACCTCCCAGCAGCGTCTCAAGTAGCAGCTCCATCGCTGACAGATCTTGAACGCCACTCAACTGCGCAGAAGCCTTGAAGTCCTGCCCGAAGATCCATATGTCTCCATCAAAAACTGCAGGGTATAGGCTTTTCATTTGTCGGTAGGCAGCGACACCAAATGTAACAACAGAAGACAAAGGCCAGGCAACAGATCGTTTTATTATGAAAATCAACACGTATTTATACATATTTCAGACAACATTATTATAGACAAGCGCAGTCATCTGATTGGTTGTTTAGGTAGACAAACGCAGGCTTCTGATTGGTTGTTTCGGGATTCCTTGACAAATAGAGTTCTCTCTGCGAATCATATTTTGCCACGTTAACGTTGCTGTGATTGGTTGTTGACTCAGGCTTGTTCACGGCCCATATTAGTGACCTAGACCTTAACGTAGATTAGTGCCAACCAATCGGCTAGCAGCCTGCTCTCACCACACCAGTGCTAAACTTTAACGGGAGCATTAACCGTTATTCTAAATACTACTAATAAATCACTGGTGCTTACTTGAATTTGTAGTGCGTTTTTGTTTTAGTGAGACGACGATTTTCTGATGAGGCTACCAATTAATCGAGTATTCGCAACTCTACAGTGGTTGTCCACTATAGCTTCAGTAGATTGTGTGTTCACACTTCTCTAAAGTACGACAGTTATTTTTTGCATCGTTCACTACAGCCTACTTAGTTCAACTAAGTAGTAATAAACTATATACCTATTTTTCGCGACCGCCTTTCATGTTTATCTCGTATTTATAAAATTTATAATTCTAAGCGAAGGGGAACTGGGATTTTTAGTATCTTGTTTTTACAAGATGCTGTTTTCGGATAAATGGATTGAGTCTAATGCAAAATACAACTACAAAATGCTGAAAGAGAATTTCAAAAAAATTTCTTATACCTGACTAAAATGAAAGCATTTAATGAGAACTGTTTGTAACTGCCTTTGACTTCTGTATTAAAGAAATTAACCCCAGAAATTTGTATTAAATTTCTTTCTGTTAAATTGAAATATTTGGAATAGTGCTAGTTAGGCAATCAAGCTGTACATGGCATGACTACTACATGACTAAGGGGGAGCAGTAAAGAAGTATAGGCAGAATACAAGAACTAAAAGAAAAACTAACGGTGGAGAGGGAATGATACCAGATCGTCCTAACTTCCTTACGTAGAACGTCAAACGAAATATTTTCTTGGAAAATAACATGACGTCGGAAGACCAGGAAAGGTGATCAGAGGAAATACACAGTTCAGGGTATTCAACATTCTTGAATTGGATTTTTGATTTTCCCGTCGATTGATTGGACCGAAGTGCTCGGTCTCAGGTTGACATGTCGGCTTCTTGTGCAGATGCTTCGACGATGTCTGGGTATTTAATTGGTGTACAATTGGTGGATGGTCGGAGCATCTGCACAAGAAGCCGACATGTCAACCTGAGACCGAGCACTTCGGTCCAATCAATCGACGGGAAAATCAAAAATTCAATTCAATAATTAATATGACCCGTTGCACAAGAGGTGGCTCTCGTGGCCCAAGTGGTCTAGTGGATAACGCTTTGTTGTTTGAAACTATGGGAACTGAGTTCGAGTCTTGGGAACATCATCACTCACTGAGAAATGCAGGTATATCCAGATGACGAGTCCCAAATAGGACGAAATGCGCATCCTGGATTCCACTGCTAGCCACCATCCACCAATTGTATTCAACATTCTATTTATTTTCAACTTCTGTGCCATATATGATAGTGTAACAGTGTGAACTAAAGAGTTCGTTTAAGTTGCTCTTGGAAGCCTGTCTCATGCATCTTATTTATATGTCAGACGTGAGTACACAGATTCGCCTATGCATAAATAAAATCTCAAATATTGCACTAAAATGTTTTAATCCTCCTAAATATATGAGTATGAAATAATACGAAGCGAAATGTAAGTCGTCTACCGAAGAGATTATATTTCACTAATCTACACAGACAATTTCTTTTTGTGGAATTTTAATTATTCTACTGCAAAATGATATATTCTGGTCTATTTCATATTCTTCCGATTTTCATCATAATCGCGCTAACTTCGTTAACTTCAGCAATCAACTGCCATTCAGTGGGTTAGGGTTTCAAATCAACAGGTTAATATCACTCACTCACTAGCTTTTTCACAGTAGTTGTAGCTCATTGCTTAATAAATTAGAAATCTGTGTTGCTTGACAGTGGCATTTTTATCCACCGTCCAATATGTAGGTTATGTAATCAGTGGGGGACGTTGATATTTCATTTTACAGTACAAGTAAATGAAAACAAAAGTCACATGATGTTTAAGAACTCCTTTTGGGATAATTACTAATCCAGTGATGATGAAAGTATATAATACACATTATAATGTGACTACAGTTTTTAAATCTTCATGATAAAGAGTAGAAACCTTAGAAATGGTAACTTAACTGTATTCTTGATATAAGAGATTCAACGATAAGGTTTCTTGTTGTTGTTTTCCCCAGGCATATAACTGGCTAGTACAGTAAATCACCTAGTTGCTAATATGTTTGTACCTCAGCTGTCTCATCTATGGAGAGTACAACGAGCATGATTAACCTGTTCAGTTTACTTCCAGTAATTTAACAAAATGACGTACATTAATTTAAAAAAACAACAACAACTAGGAAACCAGTTGAATTGTAGCAGTAAAAGAAGTTGTAGCTCTTTTCCGAAGTGTGAATAAACAAAATTTCCAGGAAAACGGTTCATAATTGATCAATAACAAAGAGAAAATACAGTGTGTTTGCCATTTGATAA